TTATTACAACGTTTCGGCCCTTTAGTATCTGTCTATATTTCTGAGATTAGGTATTATGTACTATTTTACATTATTCGGACTATTGTCCTCATCTTTGTCGCCATATTTATTACAACGTTTCGGCCCTTTAGTATCTGGTCTATATTTCTGAGATTAGGTATTATGTATATTTACATTATTCGGACTATTGTCCTCATCTTTGTCGCCATATTTATTACAACGTTTCGGCCCTTTAGTATCTGTCTATATTTCTGAGATGAGGTATTATGTACGCTATTTACATTATTCGGACTATTGTCCTCATCTTTGTCGCCATATTTATTACAACGTTTCGGCCCTTTAGTATCTGTCTATATTTCTGAGATGAGGTATTATGTACGCTATTTACATTATTCGGACTATTGTCCTCATCTTTGTCGCCATATTTATTACAACGTTTCGGCCCTTTAGTATCTGTCTATATTTCTGAGATGAGGTATTATGTACGCTATTTACATTATTCGGACTATTGTCCTCATCTTTGTCGCCATATTTATTACAACGTTTCGGCCCTTTAGTATCTGTCTATATTTCTGAGATTAGGTATTATGTACGCTATTTACATTATTCGGACTATTGTCCTCATCTTTGTCGCCATATTTATTACAACGTTTCGGCCCTTTAGTATCTGTCTATATTTCTGAGATGAGGTATTATGTACGCTATTTACATTATTCGGACTATTGTCCTCATCTTTGTCGCCATATTTATTACAACGTTTCGGCCCTTTAGTATCTGTCTATATTTTGAGATGAGGTATTATGTACGCTATTTATTTTCGGACTATTGTCCTCATCTTTGTCGCCATATTATTACAACGTTTCGCCCTTTAGTATCTGTCTATATTTCTGAGATTAGGTATTATGTACGCTATTTACATTATTCGACTATTGTCATCTTTGTCGCCATATTTATTACAACGTTTCGGCCCTTTAGTATCTGTCTATATTTTGAGATGAGGTATTATGTACGCTATTTACATTATTCGGACTATTGTCCTCATCTTTGTCGCCATATTTATTACAACGTTTCGGCCCTTTAGTATCTGTCTATATTTCTGAGATGAGGCATTATGTACGCTATTTACATTATTCGGATTGTCCCATCTTTGTCGCCATATTTATTACAACGTTTCGGCCCTTTAGTATCTGTCTAACGCTATTTACATTATTCGGACTATTGTCCTCATCTTTGTCGCCATATTTTACAAGTTTATGTATATTTTGAGATGATATTTTCACTATTTACATTATTCGGACTATTGTCCTCATCTTTGTCGCCATATTTATTACAACGTTTCGGCCCTTTAGTATCAGATGAGGTATTATGTACACTATTTATATTATTCGGACTTCGCCATATTTATTACAACGTTTCGGCCGTTGTACGCTCCGGCCTTCTTCAGGTGGTTGGAATGTCGAACTGAACCCTTTATTTCGCTCACTGGGGTAGACTGTTCTAGTTCCACGTGCCATGTTTGATGGATGTCAGTTATCGGCCATGTCCTGTTAATTCCCCTCTCCAAGTTCTCCACTGCCTTAACCAGGTATTGAACTCTCACTGTTTGAGTCCTGTCACTGGATCTAACCAACGCCTTTCTCCAGTGTGCCATGTGTCCTCAAGGCAGTGGAGAACTTGCAGAGGGGAATTAAATTAAAGAAAACATTTCTATACCTGTTAAAGAAATCATTTGTATTTACGCCTCTGCTGTTGTTGTTGATGGAGGTGATTCATTTGAAGTCGCCGACATACGATGGTCAGCGAAGATTCACTGACCGTCTCTGTTGTTGTTGGAGATAATTCTGTTGAAGTCGCCGACAGATGTTTCTTTCAGTAGGTGCTTGAAAAAGAAGGAAAAAGCTATGTTTTCGCTTGCGTTTCAACGGCTTGCAGACAGTCGTATCTCTGCTTATGAAAGTTGAACCTGTGCTTTTTTATAATAATTTTTCCCGTTATTAGACTCTAGAAAAATAGGGTTTTTAATTTTTTCTGATTGGTCAAATATTTCACATGGTGATGTCAATTTCTAACCAATAGACACTTTGATTTAAACGGTCTTAGTGCTATTGTGGAATGCTTTTGTTATGGTTGTAATTATGCCTCGCTATTGGATAGAAAATAAAGTTGGGACGTAGTATATACAAGGTGACCCCAAAAAACGGGAACTTTTTAACAATCCAATAAAACCAAAAGTGATGGAAGAAAAATATTTTATTCATAGTAATTGAAACCTTAAAATATGCCATTTAAGAAACAGTGATGGAATTTTCATTTTTTTTAAATTACGTCCTGTAGATGGCGTCCTCCTGTACGAATGCATTCTTGAAATCTGCTGTTGAGATTCCTCATTGACTGCTGCAACCTCTCATCTGGGATACTGTGAATTTCATTTTGAATTCTAAATGGCGAAATGTTTACTTGCTCAAGGTACTGTCTCGCAGTGTTGCCACTTGCTCATGTCTGGCAATACACACTTCAAAAATTCCCGTTTTTTGGCGGGTCACTCTATATATTGGTATATGTGTTGGAAATAGGATTTATTTTCTATGGGATAATTGAAATGACCCCCCAAAATTGTTTGCCAGACTTTTACTAAAAACCACAAACAAAATTGAAAAGTATGCGAACATTATTTTCTTATAAAATTTAATTTTTTTTAAACAGAACTGTCTTTATTGACTTTGTGATTGCAGAAAAGAAAGCCATAGAGATAAATGATTTAATTTTGGCTCGTGTTATGCAGTCCTCTATTCTGGAAAACAGGGATTAGCATTCTGTTATTCTCAAGAGTTTCACTAGATCTAACCAACGCCTTTATCCACTATGCCATATGTCCTTGAGGAAATATAGACAGATCCCTACTCCACTTTCCCTTCGACCTTGTGCCAAAATTGTTACATTGTTGACAATAAATCACCATTACTACACTGACTGACCCTTTGTGGATGGATTTTTACCGAGCAGTTTTTGATGGGATCTTGTGTTAAGTGGATTTTTGTTTATTGCCTTTCAGTTGTATATTTTTAATTTTCATTTTCTCTTCTCCCGTTTTGATGAAGCCTTTTTCTCTTTTACAGGATTATTGCTTTCCTCGCGATCGGTTTAGGCAGAATATTTTGCTTACTGGAGTGGATCCGGGACAAAATGGCTGACAAAAAAAGTTAGTGTAAAATGATTTATTTGGAGTAGCGGCCAGTAAGAATAAGACAAAAAAAGGAGAAGGCAAAATCTACCAAGATGAAGAGAGTATGTAACAGACTAACGAAAAAAGTGATACAATGGCCGGGGAATCACCTTCTAGCCGGACATGTGTACGTGGCAGAGTTTCTGGGAAGGGCCACGGGAGTATACACAACTTATCAATGATAGGGGCCTTTTGCTAGATGTTTACGAACTACAAATTTGGAAAAGGGAACAGTTTCCGTCTTTGTGGTTGACAAGCGCTTACACAAAATGTATCGCTCCTCGAAAGACACTGTGGAGGAATCAATGTCATTCTTGTTTTTTTTTTTGTTTTTTTTTCCTCAGCAAATTATTCAGGTTTCTGGTTTTACTTAAAGTCAATTGGTGACTAAGATCATTATAGTCATCGATACCTTTGCAAGAGTTAAAACCACGACAAGGAAGTTTAGATTTTCTCTGGTCCCAAATTAGAGCCTGTGTTAATGTATATAAATAGACCAAACCCGGATATAAGAGAAACCCGGATATAAGAGACATTTTCTCCGGTCCCGACAACTCTCTTATATCCGGGTTACACTGTAGTTGCTTTGTAGGGGGTGGTCCGAAAGTCTTGTCATCCCTACATCATATATTTTTTATTTTATTTTAGCGCTCTATAGGGTAGTAACGAGGAGAGAGAGAGAGAGAGAGTTACCTATGAACGATGCCGGAATACTCAACAGTTGAAGGACACCCTTTGAAGCGCCTTTGCAACAATCAACAAAGCACCGCTTCGACAAAATATCACACAAGACATGGCGCCGCATCATTTTGTGCCACGGAAAATGATGGTTGTTCATACAGACATTTTTCGATGTGCAACAGCATCAATGAAAATGAAGAAACTGAATCCAGTACGTGTGCTTTGTATTGCTTGTTTCTCTATTGTTCTCATTATATTTTGGTAAGGGTGACAAGACTTTCGGACCACTCTATACAACTGTAAGATGTGACAAGACGTTCGGAACATTCTCGATGTGTGATGACGTCAATGAAAGTGAATCTAGTACGTGTGCTTGTTCTATTGTCCTTACTTTTTGCTGGGATGGGTGACAAGACTTTCGGACCACTCTATACAACTGTGACAAAACTTTCGGACCATTCTCGATGTGTGATGACGTCAATGAAAGTGAATCCAGTACGTGTGCTTATTGTTCTATTGTTCTTACTTTTTGCTGTGATGGTGACAAGACTTTCGGACCACTCTGTACAACTGTAGGAGTCGCTTTGCTTTTCTTATATAGTATACTTTTCTATTTCAGATGGCTGACAGAAAAATGTATCGTGTTCATACAGACCTTCTCGATGTGTGACATATGAAAGTGAATAAACTGATTCCAGTACATGTGCTTCTTCTTACTTTTTGCTGGGAGTGGCTGACAAGACATTCGGGCCACCCTGTACCTTTTTTTTTTATTCTGTTTGAAACATGAGGTCTTTTTTGTTTTAAATAAGTTATAGATTTATAAGCTAACGATAAAAGTTTGTTTTTAAATTGTGTTTTAATTTAAACTAGGAAGTAAAATTTATAGCGTATTTAAAATTAATTGCATCTTATCAAGACGCCTTTTTTTTTTAATGAGCACTCGCTAACTAACTTTGGAAACATCTCTGTTCTTTTCTCTCCATTGCGTCGAAAATAATCGAAAAATCAAATTAAAAAACTTGGTTATTGTAAATGTTTATCAATGAAGTCAGGGCCGGTTGCAAGGATCTCTTGCTCCCCCTCCCCGGATTTTATGTTGCCAATTTATGATACGCCCCCACAACCTATCTATGGTACGAACCCCACTCTACTACCTCAATTTTCATGAAGTTTTATTGTAACATTGACTGGCAGTAGAGCCCGGCGTTGCCCAGGGATGTAACAGTAAGAGATAGATCAAGTATCGACCCTCATAAAGACTGAAAAATAAAATTGACAAAGATTATTGTTTAAGGTTGACGGACACGCAAGTCTTAATTAGTTTTTTTTTTTTTTTTTTATTTCTTTTTTACGAATTGGTCAAACCCAAACTCAAACAAAAACATTGTTTTCAATTGTTATGAGTCTACCGATTGAATAGAATTTTATTATAAACAATTGCCTTGTAAAGAGAATTATTAAATCATTCTGTATGTAAAAATAAAGAAAAAAGTGTAGAAGAAAATAAGAAACACTAAAAAAAAAAAAAAAAGTGAAGTTTTGTTGAAATCGATTGAAAAATGTAGGAAATCCGATCCCATATATAAACGAACACACACACACACACACACACACACACACACACACACACACAACCTGGGTTTTATAAGTATAACTCGATATGAGTTGTCCCCCTTTCATTTATGCCTCTTAATCGTGTTTTCAAATTGATTTCGTGCAAAAACAATTGTTTTCCCAATTTTTGGCGCTGTCAGAACCACCGCAAGGTAATTTTATGTAGTCCTGTGAAGTTTTGTTGAAATCGGTTGAAAAATATAGGAAAACCAATCCAATATATAAACGAACAGACACACACACACACACACACACACACACACACACACACACACACATACAACCTGGGTTTTATAATGTATGATTACGTACAATAATGGACCATATGCAATATAGGCAAACAATTCAACTAGAAAAATTGAAAATAAATACAATGTATCTAAATACAAATCCTTATAAAGCAACAATGTTTTGCGGCAATTTTTAACGTCTACTTGCAAGAGTCTCACGGGCACCACACCCTGAATCTATGATACAAAGTCCCCAACTTTACTACATCTCAATTTTCATAAGGTAGTGTTCATATAAAATACAAATTTCATTTTAATCTAATTATGTACAATAATTGACCATATGCAATATAGGTAAACAATTCAACTAAAAGAATTGAAATAAATACAATGTATCTAAATACAAATTAGCGACCAGCCGTAATAGATCATTCTATTTTAAATAAATCAACAACGTTTTGCGGCAATTTTTAACATCAACTTGAGATTTTACTTGTTAAAAATTTTAATGATTTTAACGCATTCAACATCATACTTATTATAAAATCCAGGTTTGTGTGTGTGTGTGTGTGTGTGTGTGTGTGTGTGTGTCTGTTTGTTTATATATTGGATCGGATTTCCTACATTTTTCAACCGATTTCAACAAAACTTCACAGGAGTACGTAAAATTACCTTGCGGTGGTTCTAACAGCGCCAAAAATTGGAAAAACACAATTGTTTTTGCACAAAATCAATTTGAAAACACGATTAAGAGGAATCGCGAGAATGAAAAGGGGGACAACTCATATCGAGTTATACTTATTATAAAACCCAGGTTGTTTGTGTGTGTGTGTTTGTTTATATATGGGATCGGATTTCCTACATTTTTCAACCGATTTCAACAAAACTTCACTTTTTTTTTTGGCAGGTAGTGTTTCTTATTGTCTTGCACACTTTTTTTCTTTATTTTTACATTCAGAATGCTTTAAAAATTCCATTTACAAGACAATTGTTTATAATAAAATTCTATTCAATCGGTAGACTCATAACGATTGTAAAAAAAAAACTAATTAAGACATGCGTGTCCGTCAACCTTAAACAATAATCTTTGTCAATTTTATTTTTCAGTCTTTATGATGGTCGATACTTGATCTATCTCTTACTGTTACATCCCCGGGCAACGCCGGGCTCTACTGCTAGTTATGAATAAAAATTAGTGAATTTCATATAACGACTTATCATGAGCAAAACAATTTCACTGATTGGGACGCCTTCTCACCAAAACAAAACAAAAAAAAAGAAAGAAAAAAAAAAAGACCCCAAAGACGCCAAAATCTGCAAAAAATTTTCATTCTTTAATAGTTGGGGTTAGTTTAAGGTAGAAAAAAGCAAATGTTGATAAGATAGCGAGAGTCACGAAGCACTGCCCGGGGCCCTCCAATCATGCCTGGCAACTCGGAGCAACCTCGAGGCGGTGTAAGGGTTAGAAAGCTTGTCTTGCTAGAACAATTACGACTGTGTAGTGATTTCGGTCCTCACTGGGTGACCCATACTTTCGGCCTTGTGCCACATCTAAGCTGTGCTTGAAAAATCACTATCATGCCTGTCAACTCGCCCTAGTCGGGGAATTCGGTGGTGGTGGTGGTGGGGGTGATTTAGTTCGCACCGGCTTTGAATGAAGTTATAATTTAAATGCATGATTTAAAACAACAAAAAAAGAAAGGTAATAGTCGCGTGACATTAAAAAGGTTCAAGTAAATAAATATTAAATGAATAAAAAAAGGAAGAAAATATTTATCTAAAATATTCATTAGAAACTTTATAAAAAATCATGGAAGCAATAAAAGAGTAAAATTTAAAAGAATGTAAGAATGTAGGACAATATATATATATATATATATATATATATATATATGAAGATTAATGTGGTTACTGGATCCAACCAGACAGACGATATTAATGATGATTAATAGTAGAAATAAACTGAAAAGACGTTTGAATTATTTTTCACTTAATTTCATTGTTCGATGAAGATAAGGATTAATTTGAAAAAAAATTGCTTGGTGAAGACGTCTGTTTGTTATAGAATATGACTAAGATTCTAAAGCAGTGGTTACCAAACGGTCCGACGCGCCTCATAGGTGAGGTGGAAGAGAATAGCAGGTGAGGCGGAAGAGGATAGCAGGTGAGGCGGAAGAGGATAGCAGGTGAGGCGGAAGGGGAAAACAGGTGAGGTAGAATGATTGAAGGACAATCAGAGATTTAGAAACAGTTTAAAAAAAAATTCATATTTCAAAAATAAATATGATTTCAAAATTTAAAATATTATACATTACTTGCAATTGCATGCGTGAGTCCCAGTGTAAATAGTTATAAATAATTATTTACAAATTTTATCACTGTGGTATTTTTGCATTATATCAAATATTAAGAATATAGTAACTACGGTCTGCAAATTGGAGGAGAGAGTTATCAATTATAATGTTCTGATTTCGAATCAACGGTTATCTCCCTTTACCCCCCCCCTCTCTGGATTTTCTTCGTCGTAGCGCTGCTTGCGCCTTTTTCCCGGGACTTCCCTTTTGGTGAGGCGCGAGCAAATTTTTATTCCGAAAATGCGGCCCAGAGGGAAAAAAAGTTTTGGGGGCCACTGGTTTAGACTATACACATCACACATTCTTTAACTTACCAACAAAGTAAGTTCAACTTTTTCTTTATCCTTTTTACAGACACCATCTTTTTTTTTTAATTGACACTTTCTTTCAAGAATTATCCTTGAAATTTTCACACTTAAATGTTCCCAATAGAATGAAAATTTCTATTTCGTTTTGTTTCACTCATTTGTTTGTTTCTTTTCTCAATCCAGACCCCAAGTGGAACTTGTGGATACGTTCCATCGCTAAAGATGCTGGAAAAATGGTCGGTTTCCTGTACTGTACCTCACTCCCTCTGCTATCCTCTACGTTTATAAGAGCCAGATCAGGCCGAAAATGGAGTCCTATTGTCATATTTGGGCGGGAGATGCCCAGTCCTCATTTTCCAGTCCTGATAGAGTTCAAAAGTGCCTCAGAGTCCTTGTTGGAGAAGAATTATTTTCCACACTCCAACCTCTCTCTCTCTCTCTCTCTCTCTTTCTCTCTCTCTCTTTCTCTCTCTCTCTCTCTCTCTCTCAGAGGAGGTATGTGAAGGAGTCCCTCACTCCTCTATTGCTACTACCATTGGAAGTAGTCATACGAACTGCATTTCCTGGTTCCACAAGATCTAACTTTCACGGCTAGCACCCGCCATGTCACTTACATAATAACAAGTCACCCACATTCCGTATTACATCGGCGAGAAGTAAGTTCCACCCAAGCAGATTCTTCCCGTAAACCACTGCCCTATGGAACAGAACCCCAAGAGGATGTTTCCCCGATTACTAGAATCTTAACCTGTTCAAGTCTAGAGACAATCGTTATCTTCCCTTCCTATCCATGTAAACTAACTCCTAACGTAACCCTCTACCTCGAGTACCCACGGGCCTTGTACAGGGTCAATCTTACTGTCTAAAAAATAATATTGATAATAATAATAATAATATAATCGCCAAAAACAAAATAATAATAAATGCCTGACCCCTCGTCCTATCATCTACCTTTATAAGAACCAGATCAGTCCGAAAATGGAGTACTATTGTCATATTTGGCACTTTCCAGTCCTGATAGAGTTCAAAAGCATCTCCGTGTCCTTGTTGGAGAAGAATTATTTTCAACCCACCAACTTCTCTCCCAGAGGCTGGATATGGCGAGTCTCTCACTGTTCTATCGCTACTACCATGGAAAGTTCTCGGACGAACTACATTCTTTGGTTCCACCAGGTTTAACCTTCATGGCTAGGACCCGCCATGACACTTACATAGTAACAAGTCACCCTCATTCCCTATATATTCTATCGTCAAAACAACTCAAAACAGCTTCTTCCCGTGAACCACTTCCCTGTGGAACAGACTCCCAAGAGGATGTTTCCCCGATCCTGACAATCTTAACCTGTTCAAATCTAGAGTTAACCGTTATCTTTCCCTCCTGTCCATATAAACTAGCCCTTAACATAACCCTCTACTCCTGGCCTTATATAGGATGAAAAAGAAAAAAATAGAAAAACTCAATTTAGAGTTTTGTAGTTATTAGTATTTTCTTCTTTGAATATGGAGAGAGAAAGCAGTTGAACAAAAGGAAATTCTATTTTTATTACAAATCACTGACAGAATGGGATGCAGCACCCACATATCACCCACACTCTCCTCTATGGTATCTAGACTCTATGAATTTAATCGTAGTACTCATCGTTATACACTTGAAATGCCTCGATATAACCGTAAGTTCTATGCTAACAGTTTCTTCTGCCGCACTTCTCGCTTGTAGAACTCTCTTCCATCGCCATCTTTATTCGGGAACTATTACTATTTATTTGACATCTGTTTTTATAAAGTTAAGTTAACGATATCAGTGAGAGTTCATTTGTAAGTAGACTCGGTCAGTGAAGGTTGGAGTTCATTAAAACTCTGATGAAAGAAATGGCAGTAACGTAGATATCGCCATCTTTATTCGGAAACTATTACTATTTATTTGACATCTGTTTTTATAAAGTTAAGTTAACGATATCAGTGAGACTTCATTTGTAAGTAGTCTCGGTCAGTGAAGGTTGGAGTTCATTAAAACTCTGATGAAAGAAATGGCAGTAACGTAGATATCGCCATCTTTATTCGGGAACTATTACTATTTATTTGACATCTGTTTTTATAAAGTTAAGTTAACGATATCAGTGAGAGTTCATTTGTAAGTAGTCTCGGTCAGTGTAGGTTGGAGTTCATTAAAACTCTGATGAAAGAAATGGCAGTAACGTAGATATCGCCATCTTTATTCGGGAACTATTACTATTTATTTGACATCTGTTTTTATCAGTGAGAAAGTCCGGTCAGTGAAGGCTGGAGTTAACGATGAAAGAAATCAGTAACGTAGATATGAGAACTTCATTTGTAAGTTACGTCTCAGTGAGAGTCAGTGAAGGTTGGAGTTCATTAAAACTCCGATGATGAAAGAAATGAACTATTACTATTTATTTGACATCTGTTTTATAAACGTAAGATATCGCCATCTTTGATTGGGAACGTATTATACGCTATCTTTATTTGACATTTGACATCTGTTTTTATAAAGTTAAGTTAACGATATCAGTGAGAGTTCATTTGTAAGTAGTCTCGGTCAGTGTAGGTTGGAGTTCATTAAAACTCTGATGAAAGAAATGGCAGTAACGTAGATATCGCCATCTTTATTCGGGAACTATTACTATTTATTTGACATCTGTTTTTATAAAGTTAAGTTAACGATATCAGTGAGAGTTCATTTGTAAGTAATCTCGGCCCACTCTTCTACATGTCAGTTTTCATACGATGGTATACATATAAAAATACAAATTTTATTGTAACCTAATTATGTACAATGATAGATCGTATGTAATATAGTTGAACAATTCAACTAAAAAAAAATTGGAAATAAATACAATGTATCTAAATATTAGGTTGGTGCAAAAATAATGACGTAATAATGTCGTTTTTTGACGTAACGTCAAAAACGACATTATTACGTCATTATTTTTGCACCAACCTTATACAAATTAGAGACATGTCATAATAGACCATTCCATCTTAAATAAATCAACAATGATTTGCAGCAATTTTTAACATGTATTTGAGAATTTTCTTGTTAGAAACTGAATAATTTTAATACTTTCAAAATTATGGATAAAAAATATGGTATTTGATATAGTGTTTTTCCATACTTAGCATGAACAAAAAATATTCACTAATTTGGACAAAATAAGTAAAAAAAAAACAACATCATAATGACGTCAAAATCCACCCTAAATTTTCATCGTTTAATAGTCAGTTGTACTTAGTTTAATTTGTAACGATAGTATTCATATAAAATACAAATTTTATTGTCACCTAATTATTTACAATAATGGATCATATGTAATATAATACCATGGATATTTTAATAGGATCCCTGTGAATATATGGTATTGTGGTATATGTTGAATCGAATGTTGATGGATGAGTTCTTGTTTACGACTAGAAAAATTGCAATTAAATACAATGATTCTTTATTGTATTATAATTACAAGTTTGACACAAGGCCGAAGGGGGAAGCGGGGTGAGGCTGGTCAACACTGACTACCCTAAACCTAGTTAATCTGATTCGTGACCCATTCATTCATTACAATTTACTCTATCACAAGAACACATCCATCAATATTCGATATTGATATACCACAATACCGTATATTCACAGGGATCCTACTAAAATATACATGACATAAAAATTTGATAATATAATATTTTGGGGTTTTTTTTAACAAATATATATATAAGTTTATGGCATGACATGAGGGAGTAGGGGATGAACTCCCCCCCGCCCCGTCAAAATGAAGTAAAACCAAACATTCAAAATAAATAAAAACGTTAGTAGGACCCGAGCATCACTCAAAGAATAAGAATGGCCACTGTATTTTGCCGCTAAGCACAATCCAGCAGCTCACTCGCTAGAGGCAAGGGAGGGGACAAAAGAAATGACGAAATAGGAAGGTCAAAGGCTGACACGGCCAAGGTAAATAGGGGACAAAACCAAGCTGGGGAGGTTGAAAATCTTGACCTGGATCCTTAGAGAAACAACATTTACTTACATTAATTAGGCAAACAAAAGAATCTAGCTTAACCAGCAGGAAGCCGCCCCGTTGTCCTAAAGGAGGCTAAAAAAGAAAATCAAGGCTGGCTCCGTTCACACAAACCAGGCTCGAGACTTTCATCCACCTTTCGCTGAAATCTGCTAATAACAAACAATAAATACAATGTATCTTAATACAAATTAGAGAGATGTGATAATAGATCATTCCAACTTAAATAAATCAACAATGTTTTCGTAAAAAGTAGAATAATTTTAACACGTTCAACATTTTTATATCATTGAGTTTTAGTAGATTCCCTGTGAATATGTGGTATTTTGGTAAATGTGAATATGGATGTGTTCTTTTGGTGATTGAGTCAATTTTAAGAATGAATGGGTCTTGAATCAGATTAGCTAGGTGTAGGATAGTCAGTGAAGACCATCCTTTTCCCACTTCCCCTTCGGCCTTGTGTCACGTGAAATGTACTTCATTTCAAAATAAATTCAACATTATAGATAAAAAAAAAATAGTGAATTTTATATAGTGTTTTTACGAGATTTAGAACGAGCAAAAGAAATCCACGGATTTAGACGGAAAAAAAAATGCAGACCCCAGAATAACGTGAAAATCTGCGAAAATTTTTAATCCTTTAATAGTCAGTTGTGCTTAGTTTAATTTGTAACGTATATAAATGTAGGTAAAAAAAAGCAAATGTTGATAAGATAACAAGAGTCACAAAACGCTACCTGCCCCCCCCCCATTCAGGCCTCTTCTACAGTCGGGGGTTTCAGGGTATTACGCACCGGTCTTTCATATATTCTTAAGTATGGGTACATTATAGTTCTTAATATTCAGTAGATGTTTCCGTGATATCGCATTAGCAAGTCTCGCTTTTCTTTCATTTTTTTTTCTTCTCTTTTTGCCTTTTCTTCAAGTTCAGTTCTCGTTGCGTCTCTCGTTTTACCATTTGTCGTTTTTTTTAATTCTTTTTTATTCCCTCACCTTTATTCTTTAATGGCGTCTTTATTCACAACCACCTCTTTTATTCTTACCATTTGATTTTGAAGTTATTCTTTCTGTTCACTCTCTCTCTCTCTCTCTCTTTCTCTCTCTCTCTCTCTTCTCTCTCTTTTTCTCTTCTCTCTATGATTTTTCACTTCTCTTTTCTTCACGTTGCTTCAAGCTTTTCCATATTTTGTTTTCTTTCCTTTTCACTTTTTCTTACCTTCATTCTCGGCCTGCTTTTTTTTTTCTCTTTTACTCCTTCTTTTTCAAAGACTGCTTTCTCCCCCTTTCTGTTCGGCTTTTGTGTGTCGCTCTCCCCCCTTCTGAGTTGTGTTTGTATGTCTCTCTCCCCCTTCATGTTTGGTATTTGTGTGTCTCTCTCGCCATTTTCTATTTTTTTTTTTTTTTTATACGTCTCTCTTTTATCTTTTTCTGCATGTCTCTCTCTCCCGACTTTCTGTTTTATTTTTGTGTGTCTCTCTTTTATTTGTTTTTGTGTCTCCCTCTGTTGTGATTTTTGTGTGTCTTTTTCGTCCCTTTCTGTTTAGTTTTTGTGTCTCTTTCCTTTTGTGATTTGTTTTGTGCCCCTCTCCACCATTCTGTTTAGTTTTTGTGTGTCTCTCTCCATTTCTGTTTTGTTTTTTGTGTGTCTCCATCGCCCCTCACTGTTTAGTTTTTGTGTCACCCTCGTCCATTTCTCTTTTGTTTTTGTTTTTTGTTTTCCTCCACGTTTCTGTTTGTTTTGTGCGTCTCTCTTCTTTATTGTGATTTGTTTTGTGCGTCTCTCGTCCCTTTCATTTTAGTTTTTGTGTCTCCCTTGTCCATTTCTGTTTTGTTTTTTTGTGTGGCTTCCCCTTCGTTTCTGTTTTGCGTCTCTCTCCCTCTTTGTGTTTTGTTTTGTTTGTCTCTCCCCCCCCCCAACTTTCTGTTTTCTTTTTGTGTCTCACCCCCTTTTTCTGCTTAGTAGTTTTTTTTGGGGGGGGGGGTTTCTCCCCTTTCTATTTTTGTGTGTGTCCCTCTCTCGCCTGCTTTGTTCCCCCTGCCCCTCTCCCCCCTCTTTCTGTTTTGGTTTTCTGTTTCTCCTCCATTTCTGTTTTGCGCTGTCAATCTTTCTTCTCTCACCTCCATATTGTTTTGTTGTGTATCTCCCCACTTTGTATATTTTGGTTTTGTCTGTCTTTCTTCCTTTTTCTCCGTTTTCTTTGTTCATCCCCACTTTTCCTGTTTTCCCCAATTTTTTGTCCGTATTTCGATTTAAGCAACTTCTTTTTTTGTCTATTTTTTTTTTTTGTTTCTTCCCCTTCTCCTTTCATGATTATCTCCGCCTTATATCATAACATTTCGCCATTTTGATTCCGTTTCTTTTTTTTTGCTTTTTTTTGCTTTTTCTTTTCCTTACGATTTCTATCGTTTTCGTTTCGTACAATTTTGTTGTTGTTGTTTTCTTTTTGTTCGTCTAATCATCCCGCTTTAGTTATGTATCTATTACCCCCTCCACTTTTCACCACTTTTGTTTTACATTCCCAGTCAGGCAATGATTTATTAAACTTTCATTACCATCACGAAATAACCATCAGCATAATACAATAGACCTTATTACCCATAATATTAAACATAATGCACCATTGACCAATATATATAAATAAAATTAAAATTAAAATTAAAAATTAAAATTAAAACACAAAATCTAGCACAAATAACAAACTACGAATGAACAGATTGAGTTCAAGCAAGAAACAGACTGTCGCTGCTCGGTGCTGACCACTCTTGATTTTTTTCAGTATCCACTTTATATTTTATATTCAATAGACCTTATTACCCATCTATAAATAGTCCGATATTGACTTCAGTATCCACTTTTATATTTTATATTCGCTCTATCTCCGATATTGAGCACTTTTACCCATAAATATAGCATAGGTTATTTTTTAAAAAAAATAAAAAATTTCAAAAATAATTTCATATGTTTGTGAATAGGTCCTGAAAATTTCATTAAAATCCGACAATTATTTACTTTGCAAGATTTTCCAATTTTCCGCTGTCTGTCACCGCAACAACAAAAACAAAAATTATTATAAATATAGTTTTACTTATTAACAATATTTTCTAAGAGTTATCACAATGAAACTGAATTTTAAAAGATTTAAAAACCTTATAAATTATTCAATTTAAAATTGTAAAAAATGTAAACAAATCTGGTAAAAATTTCTTTGTCGTCGAAAAAAGAATTTTCTTCAGACAATATTCTCTTTAATATCTGTTATTCATAAAAGCAATTAAAAGCTTCTCTAATTAAATAATTTCATTGTCTTATTGCGTTTTTGGTTTTTCGGTTCAGAACAGATTATAGGCAGGACGGGGTCCGATATTGCAAAAACAATTCGGTGATTTAAATTCTTTAAAAAAATTCTATTTTTATCTAATATAGTCACTAAACATTATCTCGATAAATTCATTAAAATCCGACAATTATTTAGGTCAAGCTTTCATAAAATTAAGTAAAGGAGAGAAACACATGTAAAATAAGTAAAAAAAGGAGAGAAACACATGTAAAATAAAAAAATATTATTGTAAATGCTGCTTGGGTTTATGCGTTGAGGTTATCAAATGTAATTGCGTGTTCTAAGAGCATTTATCTATTATACTTTTAATGATTCAAGAAAAAAAAACAAAAAAAAACAACGAGACTCCAATTGTGCATCAACAATAAAATATATATTGAGACAATAACATGCAAAACAATCATGCAATGGTGTGTCGTAATTAAGAGAGAAAAAGTTGCTTCCCTTCAACTGTATTCTGATTAAGATTGAATGTTCAAAAGAATTTCTCTTGCATAAGAATGTTCAGGATTCTATGTTGAATAGAGTCTGGTGTTAGAACAGAATACAGTTAATTAAGAAGTGTGTTGTTTTGAGTAAGTAAGAGAGAGTTCTGGTTCATGAACTTGGCATAGTCACAGAGAGGAAGAATATGTGTAATGCGATACAAAAATCTGTGTCTGGGTGTGCGTTGTGAGTAAAGTCGTGGATTTGTGTAGACAGGCGAAAATAGCTGGACTCTACTGGCGACTTGCGAGAAAGTCGGTAAGAGTTGTTGGCAATGTTCTTTAACGTCTGATCGCACGGTTAAGACGGGAGCTCTTGAAGATTACATTTTGGCAGCAAGGAAAAAGATGAATGAAGAGAAACACGAGGGAAGCTTATTCGTGTTTTGTTTATATAAGGCTGTGTCACACGTGACAGGCTCCGAAGCTTGTTCGCGGGAAAATTATTCCTCGCGTGCCGGCGATTTGATTGGTCGGAATTGATCAATCAGCAAGTTAGTTTTGAGGAGATTAGCCAATGAATACTTGCCGTATGATCTGTGTGTATGTATGTGTGATGGCGATGATGATCACTACATTATTACCAAGATTTCGTAATAAAAAATTAAAAAATAATTTCATTCATTTGTGAATAAGTCTTGAAAATTTCATTAAAATCCGACAATTATTTAATCTTTGCAAGATTTTCCAAGATTTTGTCTGTCACCACAAAAAAAAAAAAAAAAAATGGAGGCAAAAATTTGCTATGTAAAACCGCTGACGCAAGAAAAGCAAGTTTTTTTTTTAATCAAAATTTCGAATGTTCTAAAAAGGAGTAAAAATTTAATTAAATAATCATAAAAATATTTGACCCTTCCTCTTAATAAAGATTTTGATAATTAAATAAACCTGTTTTCATTACGTTTGAGGCATGTTTTCATCACGGTACGCTGATTTTTTTTAGCGATCTCGTGGGGGTACCTACTTAAAATATTTTTTAAATCAAATTAACATAAAAAATAATTTTTTAATATGCCAAAAAATATTTTAAAATCATATTCACTTGAAAATATTTTTAAATATGGCAAAAAATATTTTTTAAATATTTAAAATAATTTTTGTTTAAAGAAAGCTGAAATATAATGCAATGGCAGAGAGGTGGAAAGAGAGAGGAGGAAAGAGAGAGAAGGGGAAAGAGAGAGGTTGAAAGAGAGAGAGAGGTGGAAAGTGAGAGGTTGAAAGAGAGAGAGAAAGGTGGAAAGAGGGAGGAGGAAAGAGAGAGAGGTGGAAAGAGAGAAGTTGAAAGAGAGAGAGAGAGAGAGAGAGAGAGGTGGAAAGAAACTTAAATAATTATTATGCGCCGGCCGAACGCACCACAAGCACGCATGAATCAGAGACTTTTAATATTAGATAGATAGATAGATAGATAGATGATAGATATGAACAGAATGATATATATATATATATATATATATATATATATATATATATATATATATATATGTAGTTAGATAGGTAATGAACAGACTGAGATAGATAGATAGATAGATAGATAAATATGAATAGGCTGATATATATATATATATATATATATATATATATATATATATATATATATATATATATATATAATTATTATTTAAAAAAATTATAACATAAGTATGTTATAAAATCACTACATATATATAGATATATATAGATAGATAGATATGAACAGACTGAAATAGATAGATAGATAGATAGATAGATAGATAGATAGATAGATAGATAGATAATAACAGACTGAGATAGATAGATAGATAGATAGATAGATAGATATGAACAAACTGATATATATATATATATATATATATATATAGATAGATAGATAGATAGATAGATAGATAGATAGATAGATATGAACAGACTGAGATAGATAGATAGATAGATAGATAGATAGATAGATAGATATGAACAGAGATAGATAGATAGATAGATGTGAACAGAGATAGATAGATAGATAGATAGATATGAACAAACTGATATATATATATATATATATATATATATATATATATATATATATATATAGATAGATAGATAGATAGATAGATTATGAATTGTTGTTTCAGTAAAACAATATTTGTGTCGATAGTTACCAAATCAGGGGTTAGATTACTGTCAAAAATCACCCGGTGCTAACAACTTACCATAAACCGCAGGATTTAAGCTTCACATCTTATACCTGGAATATCAGACGGTCCCCTATTCTTAAGGGAGGGACTGGAGGTGGATTTCTATTTCTTTTTCTGTCGCCTTGTACTAAATAAACGATCAGAACTTTTCTCAAAAAATACAGACATGAAAAGAAAAAAAAAAAAGATTTGTTACGATACTTAAAATTCAAATCGAAACTAAAAACGAATAACTAATAAAGTATTGCTATGAATTTTATACGTATGACTCAGTGAAAAATATTTCTCTTTAGAAAATCGCTGGTCTTACATGACAAAATGGGAAAAACAACAGTGAATTGATAGAGGAGTGAAAACTAATGTTGATCTAAACCTCTCTATATTAATTTTCCACCGAAAGACCTGCCATACATTGGATACCTATCAGAAAACTTCTGACGACGAGTTCGTTCCTTATTTGGGGCTCTCTATTTATGACCCTTTTCTTTATATTAGCTAAGTAACAAGTATCTGAGAACTTGTAAATTTTTATTAGTTTTGGGGTAGATAGGCACGCTTATCGCCTATTCACTTTCTCCACCCTGATTTTTTGAACAGGAGTAGAGGTTTATCCCTTGTTTCCTGTTTAGGATTGCGTTTCTGAACACTTCTAAAGTTGTACTTCAACTTCTAACGTCTCCGTCTGAAATCTAATTAAGTCTTGACCTCTTCAAGTCTAGAATTTGCTGTCTATATTTCATGTTATCTTGTCCTTTCTAAAAAAACGCTTAATCGTGTCTTGTCAGGCGTCTTCAATGAAACCCGTATAAAAGAGGTTTTGCTGCCTAAACACACACACACATTCACACACATTCACACTCACACACACACACACATATATATATATATATATATATATATATATATATATATAAAATTCATTTTTCGTTTCACCTTTGAAAGTGAAGTCTGAAGATCCAGAGAAAAATAAAATTCTCTGGTGAAATAAATTATAACAAATGGAGCCTTAAAGTGGTGTGTTTTTTTTAAATTATATATATATATATATATATATATATATATATATATAAGTATAAAAGTGAACATTGTAGTCAACACTCAGAGGGGACAGGCTGTTTCATGCTAGACGCAATCGTCAGGTACACCTTAAAACTATATATATATATTTGGTGGGATTGATGTGAGTTTGTGACCCTGGGTTTCACGCTTTTGCGAGCGTCAAAGTTTGTCTGACGATCGCTAAAGCGTGAAACCCAGGGTCACAAACTCACATCAATCCAACCAAATATGTTAGCTCTATCTCTGATATGGAGCGCTTTCTAATAAGTACCGCGCATATAATATATAAATAATTATATATATATATATATATATTTATATTTATATACACACACTTTTCTCTCTCTCTCTCTCACTCACACACACACACACACACACACACACACACATATATATATATATATATATATACATATATATATATATTATATAACCGAATGGTAATTTATAGGTAGATGTATGATCGAGCGATTGTACAAATACATATAAATACTCTATACAACAGTGTTTCCCAACCGTGGTTCTCCGGAACAACTAAGGTTCCACAAAATGTCCCCAATGGTTCCGTGAGAACAGGTGAGAAGTATTACAAACGAACAGTATGAATTTTATTTAACATTACCGAAAAATTTGGCAAAGAATTAATTCTTCCTTAAACCAGTTATTCAAAAATATATTCTATGATATTTACCACGTGAACTAAGATGAAAATAAAATAAGAAAGATATGTTATATAATTTTGTTTTTGCGCAGGGTTTCCTTGAGACATGCCATTTATTTTAAGGGTTACGCAAAGGTAAAAAGGGTGAGAAACGCTGCTATAGATTAAGAAAAAATAGTGCTCAATGTTAAATAACAGAGCTATTTAATATATATTTAAAAATATACATAATACCTTACACTGATTGCACAACTCGGAGTTTCATGCCGAAGCAATTCAAAGCTTTGATATTTTTTAAATATTTTAAAAAATACCAGCGCTAGAAAAAATACAATTCCCACTGCGAGGGAGGAGAAACAAAAAAGAACCTTGACTAAAATACAAATTTATTAATAAAAACTAGGTAAAAAAAAGGAAAAATACGGTCAAAAGAGCCAACGTAAAGGGATCCTAGTGAGTATAAAATGGAAGAATTCACTCATATACCTCCTAAAAGACCAAGAGACCAAACAAAATGCTCCTTTCTGCACAGAAAAGGTTGATGTAATTTAAGAAAAAAAAACGCTTCTAATAGGCGTAAATGTTGAGGAGACAGAGCTCGACACAGGATAGTAAACGAATCGTATATATATATATATATATATATATATATATATATATATATATATATATTGAGGAGTGAGCTTTCTCGTGGGTGCTTCCCTGAACACTTTAAACCTGACTTTTTAAATCAAGGATCAGCCGCTGTCTATCCTCATAATCTTCACTTCTTAACACCTTCTCTTTCATTCATATCTCACACCTCATTCATCATAATCATACTAACTGTAACTCTACCTTGAGTGGTTCTCGAGTCTCGTATTGGGTGAAAATTAGTAAAAAAAAAAAACGAAAACAAAAAAAAATTGTGATAGATGTAGTATTAGTTTGTTAACATAACTTAAATATTTTTTAACGACAGCGAAACATTTGTGTTAAGTTCCAGCACTCAATACATATGTTGGTCTTCAACGCAGTCAGAAAATCTAATAAGCTCACAGATGTTAAAGACCCCTTCTACAAATTAAGCCTCTCTGGTTTAATACGTTTATTAACCAAAAATAATTTACTAGCCAATAATAATAATAATAATAAATAATAATAATAATAAATAATAATAATAATAAATAATAATAATAATAATTAATAATAATAATAATTATAATAATAAATAATAATAATATTAATAATAATAATAAATAATAATAATGATATTAATAATAATAATAATAAATAATGATAATAAATATTAATAATAATAATATTAATAATAATAATAATAAATAATAATAATATTAATAATAATAAATAATACTAATATTTATAATAATAAATAATAATAATAATAATAAATAATACTATTAATAATATTAATAATAATAATAAATAATAATAATGATAATAATAATAATAATAATAATAAATAATACATAATGATAATAATAATATTAATAATAAATAATAATAATACTATTAATAATAATAATAAATAATAATAATAAATAATAATAAAAATATTAATAATAATAATAATAAATAATAATAATAAAAATAATAATATTAATAATAATAATAATAAATAATAATAATATTAATAATAATAATAAATAATAATAATAATAATAAATAATAATAATAATATTAATAATAATATTAATAATAATAAATACTAATAATATTAATAATAATAAATAATAATAATATTAATAATAATAATAAATAATAATAATGATATTAATAATAATAATGATAATAATAAATAATGATAATAAATATTAATAATAATAATATTAATAATAATAAATAATAATAATAATATTAATAATAATAAATAATAATAATATTTATAATAATAAATAATAATAATAATAAATAATACTATTAATAATAATATTAATAATAATAATAAATAATAATAATGATAATAATAATAATAATAAATAATAATAATGATATTAATAATAATAATGATAATAATAATAATACAAACAACATTTACATTTAGTAGATTCTGTAGTAAATCAAAACAGAAGCCAAGAACCAACTATTGCAGCAAAAGATATGAAAAAGAAAGCCAAGGATAAAGCCCTTGAACAGATGAAACAACGCTGGCAAGACAAACCTCTGCATGGCCAATATCCAGAACGTGCAAATAAACCCAATGTTGATAAAGTTAATACTCATCGATGGTTACGAGCATCTGGATTAAAGTCTGAAACTGAAGGCTTTATTCTTGCAGCGCAAGACCAGAGTCTTTTCACTAGGAATTTTCAGGCAAATATCATACATAATAATGTGGATCCAAAATGCAGGTTCTGTGACAAATACCAAGAAACAATAGACCATCTAATCTCAGGATGTTCTATACTTGCCCCAAATGAATATAAAAATCGTCACGATAGAGTGGGGCAATACTTACACTGGACAATGTGCAAACACTTTGGAAAATGTGTAAGCAAACACTGGTATGAACATCGGCCAGCGCCGGTTACAGAAATAGAAGATGTCACCATTCTATGGGATTATACCATCCACACAGACAGAAAAATTGAAGCAAATAGGCCGGACATTATTGTCAAAAACCAGAAAGAAAAAAACTTGCCTACTAATTGATATGGCTTGTCCAGCGGATTGTAACATAGCAACCAAGGAATTTGAAAAACTATCAAAATACAAAGACCTGGAAATTGAAATAGAAAAATGTGGAAATTGAAAACAAGAATAATACCAGTGGTAATAGGTGCACTTGGAATTATAAAAAATGGAACAAAACAACACATTGAAAGAATCCCTGAAACCCCAGCTTAAGAGACATACAGAAAATTGTCTTATTAAGTACAGCACACACACTAAGGAGAACTTTGTCTATGTAACGCTAGCAACTTCATCGGAGATAAAAAAAAAAAAAAAAAAAAAAATTAACATGAAATGTGGCCATAACAACACACCACGACCTGCCTTAGGTCTTTCCGCAGACTTGGTAGGTAGTGTGTCCATAGCAGAAATCGAATGATGATGATAATAATAATACTGTTAATAATAATAATAAATAATAATAATAAATAATAATAAAAATATTAATAATAATAATAATAAATAATAATAATAATAAATAATAATATTAATAATAATAATAAATAATAATAATATTAATAATAATAATAAATAATAAATAATATTAAATAACTTCTTGGCACGAGTGATGACAATTATTATATATATCTATATTATTCGAGTTGATTCTAGTTGAATACCAAAACATGCTACAACTCGTTACCGTGTTGCTAAATGCTACAGTAAACTTTCTTAAAACCCCTAGACCATGCCGACTAGGTTGCTTAGCAACGGGCAAGGAAAATAATCTATTTCAATAAATTATAATAATTAATATTGAACAAGTACAAAAACCGCTTATAAATTACCGGGAAAAAACGTTCAGTCACTGCTTAGTTTGTTCATGACTAAATCAAGTCCGGCACAAGGTAATGCGCCCAGCAAGGAACGGAAACGCTGGGTACGGTTTTTGTATAACGAATATACTTCCCCCGATATAGACAAGTGCTTATTTTTTTTTTTTTTTAATTGTTTAATTTGTAAAAGTAAAGTTCGCATAAAGAAAAGAGTACTGAACTGTTACGTGATATCAATCCTATGCTCGTGAATGATGGGCAATCTCCTCGCAGATAGATTGAAGCAATAGAAATATGGTTCTACAGAAGGATGATGAGAATATCATGGACCGAACATGAGAGCAACGAAGAAGTTTTAGAGAAAATAGAAACAAAGATTAAACTTAAACTTAACAACAGGAAGAGACATTTTAAAGGATATGAGAAAAGCGGGCTTGGAAAATCTGATACTCACAGGACAGATTGAAGAAAAGAGGGATAGATGAAAACTACGCATTACTTAGCGAGCTGGAGTAAATCTGCTTTTTTTTTTCTTTTAAGAGACACCAATAATGACTTATTTAAAATCTGTCGAAGAAGGCAAATGGAAAAAGATTATCCACTCCTTAAAAATTATCCACTCCCTCTTAAAGATTAAGGAATTTAACATCCAGTTTAAAATCTCAAATGACAAAAATTTCACTTAGACATGGAATACATTGCTTGGTTTATGAAGCTTTTTAAAAATAAAGATTTTTTAAAGATATAAAAATGATTAATGACTTACTCTTCAGTTAAATTGGGACGCACCTGGTTACCTTTCAGGGCATATTAGTGCGCCTGGACGCACCGGTTGAGAAACACTGTTCTAAATATCTATATCTATATCTATATCTATCTATCTATATATATATATATATATATATATATATATATATATATATATACAGTTAAAAATAAAAACCAAAACCATCCTCATAGAATAGTTGAAGCCGCTCTGATACAAAGAACATTCAAATCGTTTTTACACACTTTGTGTTCAGAAAAGAAAAGACTTATACGAACACAAGAAAAACTGATTAGAGAGTTTAATCGCAGTACCTTGTCTTTAATAAAACTTGTATAAAAGTGGGATTACTGCCTAAATAAACAATTATATAAGCAACCGGATGTCTAGCCACACTGATGATATGTGATACAGCGAAACAGTCTGTCTGTGGATGACTATTTATGCCCTCGAAATAATTCGATTGAGCTCTCGGAGAGGAAGGGGTGATTTTATAAACAGTGGCTGCTGCTGCTAATGCAATGCTCTTCTACTCGAATCGAGCTCTCCTAGCTACTGACGTCTTTCGCATAGTAAAAACGTTAAAATTTCCCTTCCGTGCGACGATAGCTGGGGAGTAGAATCTCTGACTGATATTAAATCGGTCAGGTTTGAAACAATCGGATGTCAAACCTCACTGATGTGCTGTGATACTGCGAAACAGTCTGTCTGTGGATGACTATATATATATATATATATATATATATATATATATATATATATATATATATATGTGTGTGTGTGTGTGTGTGTGTGTGTGTGTGTGTATGTGTATGTGAAAAGAGTGTGTATATAAATATAAATATATATATATGTGTGTAATATATATGTATAATTATTTATATATTATATGCGCGGTAGAAAGTGCTCAATATCAGAGACGTATTTGGTTCGATTCATGCGAGAAAAATTGATACACTTCCGATCTTTGAATTTCAACATAGAAATGCGTATGTATGTAGACAACAGCACACATATACACACATATGTCAAGTCCCATACTGTCCACATCTTTGTGTGAGCGTCGGTAGGCGAGCGCGTGTGTATGTGTGTCTGTGTATGGCACAGTGGATAAAGGCGTTGGTTAGATCCAGTGACAGGACCCAAAGAGTGTTGAGTTCAATACCCGGTTAAGGCAGTGGATAACTTTGAGAGGAGAATTAACAGGAGATAACTGATAACTGACATCCATTAGTCATGGCACGTGGAACTAGAACAGTCTACTCCAGTGAGCGAAATAAGGGGTTCAGTTCGACATTCCAACCACCTGAAGAAGGCTGGAGCGTACAACAGCCGAAACGTTGTAATAAATATGGCGACAAAGATGAGGACAATAGTCCGAATAATGTAAATAAAATACGATATTAATTGTTATTGTCTGAGATTTTGGTGTAATTTGAGAGAATAATACAAAAGTTATGGATGATTTAGGGATTTACTGCAAAACCCATGGCGGCCAAAATGATCAGAATGGTTGAAAAGTAACAAAATAATCAAAAATGGCAGAGAATTCTGGAATTATTTAATATTTAGTGTGAAACCCTTTAGCTTCAATCACACTTTGACATCTTCGACTGCATGAGGAAATTAAATTTTCAATTTCTTGCTGAGTGATCTTATTCCATTCTTCAACTATCTATCTATCTATCTATCTATCTATCTATCTATATATATATATATATATATATATATATATATATATATATATAAATTTGGATTTTAAAATTACCAATTTTTAATTTTAATATTAAATTTTATCATATGATTTTATAATTATTAGTTAGTATAAATTATTTTTAATATTACACGTATTTAAAGATCTGGATAGCTATTATTGCAGGATTTCGTTGTCAAGCTTTTGAATCTTTCTATACTTCATTTTTGATTGGTTATTCTAGCTTTTGTAACAAGGCTCCCCCTAGTGTAGGATCGTTAATTAATCTGAAACTTTTTAAAACCATTTATTTTATTTTCAACATCATCACTTGAGAAGACACAGAATGTGTTGAAACAAAATGGCTATTTTTGTAGTGATCTTATAACATACTTATGTTATAATTTTTATAAAAATAATTATATATATATATATATATATATATATATATATATATATATATATATATATATATATATATATATATAAATCTATACATACAGTTAAAATAAAAGCCAGCTTTCCTGACGATCCGCTTAGGTGAAACCTGGGTAGGTTTGTCTGGCTCACTAGGTTTATCTAGGTCTGCTCTACGGTTGTATTGAGCTCTTTTGTTAGTTAGTTGTTTACTCGTGTCGGGTTTTTTTTTCTTTGGGCTTTCAACCTGTATCTGTTTAATTTTTTTCGACAGACTTTCATATTTTCTAGCTCTTTCTTTTTTTAAACCTTTTTTTTTCCTTCCAGATTGATTTGAGTAGTAGCAAATGAAAAAATTCGAAGGTTTTTTCAGAAACGAGTATAATTACCTATATATATATATATATATATATATATATATATATATATATATATATATATATATATATATATACTTTACTTAACTTTTGGAAGGCATCTTTCGTCATTTCAATACACCTTCGGATTTCAGTGTCACATTTTCCGTCATCTGTTAAAACATTTTTTTTTTCTTTTTCTTCTTCGTGCCGTGTTCCTTCAGGACATAGGCGATCATAGCTCTCCACAACTTCCTATCCCTTTGCCGACCTTATCAATTGCTCTCCTTTGCTAAGGTTTCCGTCCCCAGTTCCATCATCCATTCACACAGGTAAATGGTTCTATTATCTTCCTTTTTCTCTATTGATCTCAATATGTCCCGTGTAACACACTTCGTAGATGTTTAAATGTTGGTTCTTGATTGATTTTGGTGTTTCGAATTCGTAGTTTGCATCTTGAGTTGTTTCTTTTGTTGAAACCACACTTTCTGTTTTCTTACAATTGATAAATAGTCCTTTCTTCTCGCTTTCCTTTACGACCTTCTTTAGGAGATTTTTTTTTTTTTGTAGTTTGTCGTTCTGTCTCTTCTGTCAACACTGTGTCATCTGCTTGTTGTCAAAAATGGCTATCTACACTGGCTTCAAATGCAGTCACCGCTAGAATACAATCTTGATTATTTACACTCGTTTCATTAGAATTTGCTGTGTGACATCACATCTGAATTTATGATACGTAACATCGCAATCTACGACATTTCAATTTTCATAAGGTTATACTCATAAAATACAAATTTTATTGTAACTTAATTATGTACAATAACGGATCATATAGTGGAACAATTCAACTAGAAAAACTGAAAATAATTACAATGTATCTAAATACAAATTAGAGACATGTCATAACAGATCATTCCATCTTAAATAAATCAACAATGTCTGCCAATTTTTAATATCAACTTGAGATTTTTCTTGAAAAAATGTTGAAGAGTTTTATTTTAACACATTTATGGATAAAAAAAAAGATAGTAAATTTTATATAGCGTTTTTTCGAGACTTCACGGATTTGGAGGAAAGAAAAGACCCTAGAATGACGTCGAAATCTGTGAAAACATTTCATCTTTTAATAGTTGCGCTTAGTTTAATTTGTGACGCATTTAAATGTAAGTAGAAAAAAATCAAATGTTGATAGGATAACGAGCCCCCCCCCCCCCGGTAAGGCCCTGGTCGTTATTATAAAGTTTAAGCTCTGCATATACTTATTACAGAAGTGAGTAATACAAATATGGAGGTTTTACGTATACAATTAATGGTTCGAATGTGTCCCGACACGCTAACAATTCTAACCGTCTACAGAATGGGAGGGTCGCGACAGGGTTTCAGGGCAGGAACTGAAAGAAAGAGGAGTTAAATGGTCTTGTCGGAAAGGGCGGGTGGGGAAGGCTTGGAAATTCATGTCTCACCTTTTCAGGAGCTTTAGAATTTAAAAAAAATAAAATCAGAACATTTGATAAAAGAGGCGGCTTGGTGGACGATTTTCTTTGCTCAAAAAAGCTTTTACGTAGCCGACCAATCGTCAACTGTTTTTTATTCATTTATTTTGATAAAACGTAGTGTTCAGACATGCCTGTTCCTGTCGTGAAGTGACGCGCATGCGCGCGCACACAAACAAACACGAAAAAGAACGCGCGTGTGCGCAGACGTAGACGAACGCAACACAAATAAGCGCACACAAGCATAAACAGACACACAACGCTGACAACACCCACATACACGCTATGTATTCCACACCCCCACCTCCTACACACACATATAAACACACATGCTCTCTTTCTTTATTTCTCACATTCCATCAGAGCATTTTTCGCAAATAAAGTTTTTTTTCTTATATACACACGCGCGTGCGCACACGCACGCGCGCGCGAACGCGCGTCTTTCTCACCGGTAGAAGCCATTTATTCCCAACAACTACTTGATGGACTGACGTATCTTGTGATTTCTCATTATCGCCCTCATTTTTTTGTTTCAGTTACCAGAAAACTACGAAATGACTAACGATAGAGTTGAATGCAAGGAAGGTCGGGTTCATGCCTTAAAAAAATATTACCATGTGTAATAGTCAGGATCGAAACCATTCCTTTGATTTTGTTAGCTCACTGAGTATTTGTATATTTAGTTGCTTTTTTTGTAAACTTTTTATGGGATGGCAGAAGGCCATTAATTATTTACTGTACCTTGTGTTGGTAAAAAAATGTCACTGTACTGATCAAGATCACTGATTCGGTGATTAGATAAACACGTGGGTTCAAAACGTGAATTATAAACATACGTCTCAATTTTTCTATAAAGTTTTTTTTTTTACTCACATACACACATATATACAGGGTGTCCATAAAGTTCGTGTGCACATTAAAAAATTCATAAATTTATTTGTATTTGAAATAATTTTTAAAAAAAGATTAGAAAGAAGTAAATCTATATTTTTAAAAATTTTATTGAAATTTTATTTAAATTTCCACATGTCCTCCATCATTAGCAATACAAATACGATTTTGCAGTTCACGGAAAACATTTGCCAACTCATTTACAGTAATGCCTGAAATCACATTAGTTATTTTAGCTATACTTAAAACTAGGTACATTAAACTTTATAACATTTTTTACCGATTATTTCTATTGCAAATACAAATAAAGTTATAAATTTTTTAAAGTGCACACGAACTTTATGGACACCCTGTATATAATTATTTTTTTAAAAATATGATTGCATCGCTACACAGGAATTATTACCATCTTTCAAAAACAAGCTAAAATCTTCCACTTCAATTATAGAAATTAAATTAAAGTAATTGAAAATGAAACAGAACTAGGTACTTTAATTTAATTTCTATTGGAAGTTTTAACTTGTGTTTTTGAAAGATGGTAATAATTCCTGTGTAGTGATGGAATCATATTTTTAAAAAAATAATTATAATCTAGGCTCTACTTGTGTATCGAGCACTGTTTTTTTTTTTTTTTTAATAAAAACAAAAATACGAAAGAACTTCGGATCATCATTAGATAATGCTTTCCTATTTTACCAATGCATTTGCCCCCCCACACACACACACACGCACACACACACATATATATATATATATATATATGTATGTATGTATACTGAACTCTCCCGTCGTTTTCGACGTATGAGGTTCAAGCAGCTCAGTTCTTAGACCCAAACAGCCAGACTATCTGCCCATATGATTTGATTATCGGTGTGAAGGCTTGTGTAGAACCAGCCATACATGGAAGAGCCGAATACAGAGAACTGGTGCAAAGTCTGCCACAAGGTCCCCTAAACGGCCCCCCGTAGGTTTTGTATTCAGCGTTGTCCTTCTCCAAGACCGCTTGCCAACAAAGGCTATAGGACTAGTCTATCCTGCTATTTAACTATAGCTGGAGGGAAGAAGGGATAGATTCATACCTTTTCCAGGGATAATAGTGTATATATACCGTATATACCTACGTATTATGCTAATTTTGAAGCTAATTTTAAGGGGGTTGCATCATACATGAGATATAAAATTAGTGTATGCACTGCTGGCCCTGGCTATGCCGTTGACCAAACTATATATCCATTTACTATAGTCAAATTAACTTCAAAATTAGATCTTCAAACGTCACATGATATATATATATATATATATATATATATATATATATATATATATATATATATATATATATATAAGTGGACATTGAAGTCAACACTTAGACGCGACAGGCTGTTTCATACTAGACGCAATGGACGATTGCATCTAGCATGAAACAGACTGTCGCCTCTAAGTGTTGACTTCAATGTTCACTTTTATATTTACACATGCTCTATCTCTGATATTGAGCACTTTATCCCATAAATATAGCACCCTTAAGACTATACACTATATATATATATATATATATATATATATATATATATATATATATATATATATTCTGTTTATACGTTATTTTTATACATACAAATATTTAATTAAATGCTCTGTTTATAACAAGCAATGTTAAATACATTTGACAGCCTGAATGTCCGAGAAATATGGAACCTGTATCCTACACGGAACCGTCATGTCACTAAATGTTACAGCCTGACGTGCTATACCATTTAGCTACAGAGGGAGCGACTGATTTGCAAAGTCAAATTACTGTTTTTAAACAACAAACTTCCCATGATTTTTCTCAAACGATCATATCTGCTCGGGCAGTATCTTAACGGAAACAAGTGAAATAGGGTAAGTCCGATAATTATTTTAATATATTTTCTGTTTATCCATTCTTTTTATAGATACAAATATTTAAGTAAATGCTCTGTTTATAATAAACAGTATTAACTACATTTACCAGCCTGAATGTCCGAAAAATATCGTAGAAAATCGAACATGTATCCTACACGGAACCGTCATTTGGCCTGACGTGCTATACCATTTAACTACAGAGGAAGCGTCTGGTTAGCAAAATCAAATTACTGTTTTTAAACAACAAATTTCCCATAGGATACGGGTTTGATTCCTGCCGGAGGTCATTTATGTTCTACGAAATTTCTCTAGACATAAAACATACGTATCACCGCCTCTAGTTATCATATCTACTCAAACATATATATGAACAAAAGCTGGGTATCATCTACCATGTATTCAGTTGTGAAAGGAGAATAACATGTACCCTATTTTTTATTAACTCAAAGCTCCCAAGAAAATTAAATTTCGGCATTAAATGACCCATAAGGAGTTGATGTGTCGTTATACAAACAAATCAATCAATTAATCTAAGGCGGCAATATACGCTCATATTCTCCCTTACACAAGGAATTCTCTCAAGGATTAAGAAGTAGACGTACCCCATTACTAACCCACCCGCATCCACAAGTTTGTCGTACCCCGTCAGAACTCCAATTCTTTAATTTAAACAGTTGATTGATTTAGATTTGTTTGTTTAAAGACACATCAACTCCTTATGGGTCATTTACTTGGTAAAGGCTAGAGTGTTTTTTCTTATCATTTCAACCCAAGCAAGATAATAAAGCCATTAAGACGTAACAGGTTACTGGGTGAAAGCGATTTTGAGAAAAAAATCTACATTAAAAGGAGAGAATAAAAAAAACAGGAATTGACAGATGATAACGATTGATATTGCATTTTCATTTATGAAGATCAATGTTAACTGCGAAGCAAGAGACCCGAAGAGAGTTCTACAAGCTAGAAGTGCAAGAGAAGAAACTGTTAACATAGAACTTACGGTTACATCTAGCCATTTTAACTGTAAAATGATGAGACCTTTCTGCCAATCTAGTACTGCACTTAAATTCATAAAGTCTGGGTACCATAGCCAAAAATTCATCAGAACAATTACCATGAAAGTATTTATCCAACGTTTTAGTTGAATTGTCTGTTTTTACGACACTGTTTTTCTACGTGATGGGCAAATCTGATTTGAGGCCTTCATTTACATTTCATTGATAATGACTGGGATTTTCTGCTCATTTCTCAATATTGTCACCATCTTGAATGTCACACCACATCTTGTATTTTCTTGAACGTTAACCGCGCTTACAGGTTTTTACACTACATTAACAAATTCGGTCTAATCTATTATCAAAGGGAGATAACCAGCATTAATGATATGCCTAAGAACAGAAGATGAGGTATTTGGGCGCTTAGATCCAGATTGGTTTGTCCTGGGTATGACGATAAACTACATCCGGCAGCAAAGTCTCTGATCGGGTGATCGGAGGTTCTAAGTAGCGTCTTAATTGCTTTTGTTCCCAGGTTCAATCTAACTCGGGGTGGTAGCACCTGTCAGGGTTCAAGCTATGGGCAAATAGTGAACCACAAACAAAACACTATGAAAGTAAAAAAAAAAATCATTTTATAGTACAAATACCAGTAATACAATTTTATATAAAGAATTATCACCAATGCCTATCTGTATTAAAATTATCAACAATATATTTTATCTGTAGTTGAAGACATAAAGTTGTTCAAAATATTTAGATATTTGGCATTAAATAACCCATAGAGGTGTTGATATGCTGCTAAACAAAATCAACCAACCAAAATCCAAATATTTAGGTTTTGGCATTAGATAACCCATAGAGGTGTTGATATGCCGCTAAACAAAATCAACCAACCAAAATCCAAATATTTAGATTTTGGCACTACAAGGCTTGAAAATAAGTATTCGGAATGGTGAATTGTTATCTGGATTCAAACACCGACTTCTGGCGTCGATAGGATATATGCACTTCTCTCATCCTTGAGATTTGGTCAAACATGCAAATTTAACCCTGATATTTAGTGAGCATTAGAAAACGTTCTCAGAAGGAAAAATGATATACCAAAATAAATATTATGCTGTGTTTATTGTTTAGGTATTTGCCTCCAATATTATCCTTCTCTTAGATAAAGCTTTCAAAGGTGACTC